TGAATCAAAGATCCTTCTCCCAAGGGACTTAGTTTGTGGGGTTTTTGGTTGTTTGTTTTTTGAGATGGAGTCTCACTCTGTTGCCCAGGCTAGAGTGCAGTAGCGCCATCTTGGCTTATGCAACCTCTGCCTCCATGGTTCATGTGATTTCCCTGCCTCAGCTTCCTGAGTAGCTGGGACTGCAAGGTGCCTGCCACCATGCCTAGCTAAATTTTTGTATTTTTAATAGAGACAGGGTTTCACTGTGTTAGCGAGGATGGTCTCAATCTCCTGAACTTGTGATTTGCCCGCTTCAGCAGGACTTAGTTTTTTTATTTTTTTATTTTTTTATGTTTTAGTTTTGTCCTGTTGTGACTATGCTGTTGAACTATGAATTAAAACATTTTGAAAAGCATCTTGGAAAGTTAAAATAAATTATATACTCTTGAGTTACATGGAATATATGTATTATTGTTCTAATTTTAATGATTGCATTGGCCACCTCTCTTTTCCATTAACTTGAACAATGGTCATTAAGACTACCCCAACAAATGAGTACATTACAAAAACAGAAACAGATTTATTAAACTCTGGGGGAAAAGCACGATATGTCTCAAAGATGAAATGTTAAGAAAACTTTCTTAAAATAATGATTTGCCTTTGGTTTTCTCAGTTTCTCACATCTGCCTCCTCCACAACATGAGAAACTATTTGAGACTCTTAGTATGCTTGTAAGAGTTTAGGCACAGTGTGGTGAAAAAAACCCCAAAACTCATTGGCTTTCACTTGCTTGATTAGCTTTTCTTGTCTTTTCTTTCTTTCTTTCTTTTTTTTTTCTTTGAGACAGAGTCTCATTCTGTTGCCATGCACCAGGCTGGAGTACAGTGGTGTGATCTCAGCTCACTGCAACCTCCACCTCCTGGGTCCAAGCAATTCTCCTGCCTCAGCCTCCCTGGTAGCTGGGACTACAGGCGCACGCCACCACGCCCAGCTATTTTTTTTGTATTTTTAGTAGAGATGGGGTTTCACCATGTTGGCCAGGATGGTCTCGATCTCTTGATCTCATGATCCACCCACTTGGGCCTCCCAAAGTGCTGGGATTACAGGCTTGAGCCACTGTGCCCGGCCTGATTAGTTTTTCTTTCACATCTATACAACATACTCCCCTTGCTTACATCTAAACAAATTTATTTAGTCAATTCAATGTTGGAAGTTCAACCTCAATTTTGTTTACAATCTGTGCTGGCACAGATATATTGTCAAAGTAACCTTACAATGAAAGAATATTAATGGCTAGCTTACCCTGTGATAGTTAACCAGATCAATCTACATACCACCCTTTACAATATGGGGAGGAGAAGATAAAGTTTAATCTACATAATATTGAATGGTGCTCCAGATAAAGCTATCTTATAAGATAAAATGAACAATATTGCAATATCTATTAAAAAAAAAAATTAAAGCCCAGGCCCAGTACTCACACCTGTAATATTACCACTTTGGAAGGCCGAGGTTGGGGGTGATTCAGGGTTGAGCCCAGGAGTTTGACACCAGCTTGGGCAACATGGTGTAAACCCATCCCTACAAAAAAAAAAAAAAAAAAAAAAAAAAAAAAGAATAGCCGGGAGTAGTGGCGTGTGTTTGGAGTTCCAGCTACCTGGGAGGCTGAGGTGGGAAGATTGCTTGAGCCAGGGAAATCAGGGCTTCAGTTAGCTGTGACTGCACCACTGCACTCCACCCTGTCACAGAAAAACAATAAACAAAAAAACCCAAATCCCCCAAAACGGAAACAAAACTAAACAAGCAAAGTATTAAGAAAAATTTTAGGCCTGATGTGGTGGCTCACACCTGTAATCCCAGCACTGTGGGAGGCCGAGGTGGGAGGATCACGAGGTCAGGAGTTTGAGACCAGCCTGACCAACAGATGAAACCCCAACTCTACTAAAAATACAAAAATTAGCCAGGGATGGTGGTGGCGCGCCTGTAATCCCAGCTACTCTGGAGGCTGAGGCAGGAGAATCGTTTGAACCCGGGAGGCAGATGTCGTGGTGAGCGGAGACAGCACCACTGCACTCCAGCCTAGGTGACAGAGCGAGACTCCATCTCAAAAAATAAAAAATAAAAAATAAACCTACACAAAACAGACCAAGTTGAGCTATATTTCTGCAACACTAAGCTTGCTAAGGAGTAACTCAAATGTATATAAGTAAATATTAGTTACATGGTAATGTCTGAAGATGTTTCCATGTATTTACAACAGTTATGAACACAAATGTGTTATCATAAAGATTAAAACTCCTGCTTTCATCATCTCATGTTTATTAACTTTGAAAAAGTTATTCAAGCATCTGAGCCTTTAAGCATAGGGGTAATATCATTCAGAAAGCTTTGTATACTTTTTCCTTTTAGAAGATTCCATTGTTATTTTTTCATAATTTGGTTTAAGAAATTAATTCCCTAAAGCTATGCACAAATTAAAGGTATAACTTGATAGACATGTTGTAGTGTGAGTAAATTTTAAGACAACACAGCCAGGAACTAACATTCTCTTATGAAATTTGGTTATGTAATTGACACTAGAGCCCAGAACTCCATATACATATATTCATTAGCCCTAAAAAGCTTCACACAGAAACAAAGAAAAAAAGTAATGCATTATTATGAAACTAAACAAAAAAATCATCCCTTTAAGTTTAAATATGGTTGGATTAGTAATACCTAATGCATTGGATAAATGAATGAGATGACTTGTCATATTCTTAACAGAAATTATGTCTTAATTTACTGCTATATTAAAAGAATAGCCCTATTATTTAATATATTGCTGACTTATTTTCTACTCTGAATGAAGTAATGGTGAAAATTATTATGTGAAATAAAATAGAGTTATAAGTGGAGAAAATATTTTCTTTCCTTAATGGAAATTGTGTATCTATTAGGAGAAAACACATTACACATTAAACTATAGCATAAATCAATATCTTGTGACTTCTTATTTTAACTAAGTTGAATGCTATAGTGTAATTTTGAATTAAAAAAATAAAGAATGCAGGAAATCAATTTGTTTAATCCAACTTCAAATATTTACCATGAGAAAGTTTTAGGCTAACGTAGGTTTTAATACCTTTTGTCAAAGCATGAAGCAGAACGCAGTTGGATTAGAAGCTTACAAATATCCAAATATGAATACAAGGAAAGAAAGCGCTTCTAAGCAACAAGAAACATTTTTATAGTTTGTCACAACGTTGGGGAAAGGAAGACAAAAGATGTCACAACTTCTTAATTAATTATTTCAAACCACGAGGCCTCCAGGATACTTCCCTATGTATTATTGCTAGCTTTCTAACACAAATTTATGAAAAAGAGAATTGGTTAGCTTTCCCAAAATTCACTTCTCTTTGCTACAGCCCTCTATTACAATTTTAAAAAATCCATTTGTTTACGATTTTTTCCTAAATTAATTTTGAAGACTTTCAGTTGGAAAAATGTCCAGAAAAACTAAGAAGTTACATACAAAACCAATATATATTCTAAGTACACATGTTCATTTCTTTCACCTCTTTTTGGCTCTTTTAAACTTTGCCTTTAAAAAGCACATTGGGTAACTGAAAAATTAGTCCTTATAAAGGTCAATTTCTTCGTTTAACTTTTTTTCTAATGTATTTTCATTATGTTTCCTTGAGTTTATTTTATTCTTTGGATCATACAAGTCCATTAAGTTTTAGTTAAGATCAGCAATTGCCCATTTTTCTCTTTGTTTTAATACGAAAACAACTTCTCACAACACTCTCTTTTTATGCTAAAATAAGACTTTGCTCTACTAGCCAAATTCTTTTTCCTCCCACGTATCAGACAGTGATTTTTAGTTTACAGAGGAAGTGTTTTTCAGATGCTTTATAAACTTCTGCTAAGTACGTTATGATGAATCTCTGTTCCACAGAATGTTTTTTGTGTGTTTTGAAAGTATACTCAATGCACAATGGCCTATGCATCCAAGCCACAGTAACATCATAGTTATTGCTGAGATCTAAGCTTTCTAGAATACCAAAATGTATGTTGTAATAAGTCATTGAAAAATAATCTGAATCATTTTAAAGAAATCATTCTCAAAATCATTATGATCTTCAATTGGCTTATTAAGGGTAGTAAGACAATTGAAACCAAATAAGCCAATATATGAAACAGAGTAAACAGTTTCCTAGATGATTCCACAGTATCAAAAAGATCACCTTGTACTATGCTGAAATGTACTGAGCTAAAATGATGTGTACTTCACTGGCCCTAACTTGTTTTAGTGGCTTACTACTTGGTGGTAATTCTTCGACTTCCTTCCTACTTTCATCTTTACTTCTGCATGTACTTATTCCCCTCCTAATGAGCCGCTGCTGCTCTTAACTATCAGTTAAAATTTAGAAAAATGGACAATTTTTAGGGGACAAGGGATATCCAACTTTAACAAATGAGTAATGTCCTTCACTTTCTTAATTCTAAGACAATATGCTCACTAGGGCTGTGTTTTATTTTGCTGAACATGATTGAAACGAATATGATAAGAGAAGCCTAACTTCATAATTATTACCAGTCTCTTGGAAAAAGGGAATATAGAGACGTGAAAGTACATAAGAGAAAATACACAGCATTGCCTTTCCTTATTCTCTAATAATGATGAACAAACAAATCATACCTAAATTTTACAGAAGCAAATCTGTCTTTTGTTATTATTTTTTGACTACAAACGTGACTGGCTAAATGCATATAAAAGGCACTTCACTGTATTGTGTTTTTAAATTATTATTTTGAAAAGTAAGGTTTGAGGAGAAGTTAACCATTCCTGAAAAATGTATATAATTTTAAAATATATGTGCATCAAAATGATTTACACAATTTAATTGAAGCTGTAACAATGCTGTAATGTGATGGACTGAAGTTCAAGCTTTAGAAAAAATTTGCAGAAGGTCAGTTCCCTAAAAGTTTGCTCATTAAGAAGCATGAAGAAGTTTACTGAAGCATCTTCCATATTTCTGTGGCATTTCACCCAAGGAAGTCGCATTCTGCAAAAGTGAAAGTTGAGATTGTTAAAGCTAAAGAGTACTCTGTAGATCAGGTGCAAGTCCCCCAACTTCACTTGAGAAGAATTAAATCTTTAATTACATACTGTTTCGTTACAGTTTTTATTTACATGGCAAATTTTTATTTTGAAGACAACAATTCAAAATGACAATTTCAGTTCAAAATGCATTAAAAAGAATATTTTAAACATATAACCTAAGTGCTTATGCTCAAGTTTTTTTTGTTTTTTTTTTTTTGTTTTTTTTTTTTTGAGACGGAGTTTTGCTCTTGTTACCCAGGCTGGAGTGCAATGGCGCGATCTCGGCTCACCGCAACCTCCGCCTCCTGGTCTCAGGCAATTCTCCTGCCTCAGCCTCCTCAGTAGCTGGGATTACAGGCAAGCGCCACCATGCCCAGCTAGTTTTATTGTATTTTTAGTAGAGACGGTTTCACCATGTTGACCAGGATGGTCTCGATCTCTCGACCTTGTGATCCACCCGCCTCGGCCTCCCAAAGTGCTGGGATTACAGGCTTGAGCCACCGCGCCCGGCGCTCAAGTTTTAATACAAATTATAAAAGGGCTTTTTCACAACTCCTTTCTTCAAGTACCAACTATATTCTATTTTGCTTGAGTTTTTAATCTCTGTTCAAAGGATATTGCCACGACAAACAAAAGAAGGATAAATAAACCTGAATACTACTTTCTGTGTTATTATGATAACACATTGAAAATTGTACATTTTGCACATTCTACCAAAAATCCAAACATATACTGCCATTTTAACAAGATTTCTGTTGTATTTGAGAGTTATGTTAACTTATTTGAATGATGGTGTGTCAATATATGTCAATATTAATCTAAAATAAAAATTTTCAGTATAATTCAGCAACATGTGTTTCACATTATTGGAAGAAAAGTCTTAATGGATGTGGCAGCAAGTGGTAGCAGAAATTAATGGTCACATTTCTTTTCCTTTTTTTTTTTTTAAGATGTAGTTTGCCCAGGCTGGAGTGCACTGGCATGAATGCAGCTCACTGAAATATCCACCTCCTGGGTTCAAGTGATTCTACTGTCTCAGTCTCCTGAGTAGCTGGGATTACAGTCATGCACTACCACGCCAGGCTAATTTTTTGTATTTTGTAGAGATGGGGTTTCTCCCTGTTCTCCAGGCTGGTCTCAAATCCCTGACCTCAGGCGATCAGCGGCCTCAGCCTCTCAAAGTGCTGGGATTGCAGGTGTGAGCCACGGTGCCTGGCCAATGGTCACATTTCTAATTTTATCAGGCTGACATTCTGATTTCAATGGCACAGACCTAGAACTTGCTAATTTCATCTAGAAAAGCTAGGAAAACTTAGACAAAATACTTCTTTGAATTTGAGTTGCTTAGAGCTAAAGCTTACTAAAAACTCAAAGCTTTGGTGTGATATATTAATGATTTGAGAAAGCCATTGCATAAGTAGCAAATTATCATCCTTTTCATAATATGTATCAGAGAAGAAATTAGTGTTTGGCCTGGGAACTAGTGACAAAATTCAAAATGTTTTACCCAAAATATACTTCTTTGACATATTCTGAAGTGGCTCCACAAAGCTGTCTTTTGTGGGTGGATATTTGTGTCTGTGAAGAATTTGCATGAATGCAGCCAGCCCTCCTCTTGTCTAGATCTAGGGAAGATTAACTGAGATTCTAATGCTTTTAGAGGTCTGAAAATAAACATTTGCCATCTATTCTCTCTGAAGACTACGTAACAAGACTGCCTTTGCTAGCCAAGCCTCTTTCCTTTCTTCCATAATCTCTCGTTTAAAAAATAAAAAAAGTTTTAGTCCACTTAAAAACAATTTCCAAAAACAGGATCCCTTCTTTTCTTAAAAATTGTTCTCCCAGGCTGGGCACCGTGGCTCATGCCTATAAATCCCAGCACTTCGGCATGCCAATGTCGGTGGATCACCTGAGGTCAGGAGTTGGAGATCAGCCTGACCAACTTAGTGTAACTCTGTCTTTAATAAATGCAACAGATTAGCCAGGTGTGATGATGCATGCCTGTAATTCTAGCTACTTGAGAGGCTGAGGCAGGAGAATCTCTTGAAACTGGGAGGGAGAGGTTGCAGTGAGCTGAGATTGCACCATCCTTGAGCCGGGGCAACAAGAGTGAAACTCCGTCTCCAGAAAAAAAAAAGATTGTTCTCCTATTTACTTTTACTTCTCCTTCCTTCCTCTTTGTCATTTTTGGTACCACAGGAAAAGATCTAGAGAAGACTTCTAACAACTCACACTCCTTAAGGAACTCAGAAGAAGGTTACTCTGAGTACTCTCACTCCTTCCTGGGAGTCTCCTATCCTTGCAGTTTCAAGGATCATAGGCAACCTCCTCTCAAGTCTAAAACTCTGCTCTCTTTTGTGTTGTGTTACCTGATCTCTTTGGCTTTTGACCAGAAATTGTTTGGTATTGTTAGAGAACCTGACCTTGGTGTACGAAATGGCTAGGCAAGAGTAACAGTGTTAGAGGTGGCCAACTACAGCTGTTTCCAATAAATGGTGGTTACTGCAGGGAGCTACTCGTTGATTTGCACATTAGATAAGAAATGGTGCCGTTTAAACATTGAGAAAAATGTCTTTGCAGTAAAGTGCCCTGTGAAAGTGTTGTGTGGCCAGGACTCCATGGAGTTTTCCTGTTTTGGGAAGACCTGGGGATTCAGTGAAATCCTTGATTGTTTGTTTTATTTTGAGTTCTGGGATACGCATGCAGAATGTGCAAGCTTGTTACATAGGTATGCATGTGCCATGGTTGTTTGCTGCACCCATCAACCCATCATCTAGGTTTTATGCCTGGAATGCATTAGGTATTTCTCCTAATGCTCTCCCTCCCCTTTCCCTCCATGCCACAACAGGCCCGGGTGTGGGATATGCCCCTCCCTATGTCCATGTGTTCTCATCGTTCAACTCTCAGAAACCCTTGATTTTTAAACATCTAAATGCTTTGCCTTTTAACTACACCCACTTTTCACATATTTAAATTATTAGGCCCTATAAACTAAAAATACTTAGTTAGGCTTGTTCCTTAATGAGTTCTGCTCCGAGCTCAGTGGTCCACTTGAAAAACACCGACTGAATCAAAGGCTACCTATCTGAATGAGATTGCTCTCCTTATGCAATCTTATGGTTAATTCCTATGGAATCTTGGCATTCATTTTAAATCTTCCTTTGCCATACACAAGCTTCCTGAAAAATCAAAATTTCTCTGTGCTTTGAGATAGAAATTTGCTACCTGTTTTCTCTGAAACTCAGAAGGGCTTCTCCAGATAAACTTTAAATTTTTCCATTTACAAAGGCATAGTTTAGATCGAACTGTTTTTTGTTTAGTCTAGTGAGTTTTACCTGTCTTATGGCTAAAATTCTAAAATCAAAACAATAAACTCTCAGTGTACAGATGTGTGTACTATACTTTGTGTCTCTCTATACATACATACCTGTATGCGTATAAATGTATTTATAGCTATATGTGTTTAATATTGTCTACACATGGTACCTCATTAATTTAAAAATAAATGAGTAGTCATAAATTAAGAAAGGCCAGATGCTTTTCAAGCTCATGTGATTTTAGCAATCTTTGAGAAATAAAGATAGTTTTAAAATTATTGGTGAAATAAGATTGAAATGTCTTTGGAATTTTAATTTAGACATTTTTTTGTCTGAGTCTATTGATCAGGCAGGTTTATGGCCACAAATACGTTGCTTGATATTTTTGATACTTGATTAACTTGTTTCCAAGTCTGTATATTTTGATTTGAGTTTTTCGATTCAGAGGTCTAGATAAATGCCCATGATAAGGCTGGGGGATAACACCTGGTCCATCTCTCCTATCCCATTGTGCCTCCCCTGCTGGGAGATGCTGAGAGAGATTAGATTCTCCAGGCATTGTCTTTTTTCCTGGGCTCTGCATCTGACATGTAATTAAAATTACCTACTTCTTTGTTTTTTTACTAAAATAAGAGTTACTAATTGTTAGCATTGTAATAAGTATATATAGTCAAAACTACTAGATATAAGGAAAAAATATGCAAAGTGTGTAAGGAAAGTAAAGTATGTTTTTGGTAAGAAAGATTATAAAAAACCATGTCTGTGTGTGTGTGTGTGTGTGTGTGTGTGTGTGTGTGTCTGTTTGCTAACCCAACATCAAGCAGAACAAGATTTAATTACATTGGCCAAAAGTAATAGAAAACTGCAATCATTTTAATGACTTTTTTGTTTGAAACATTGCTGTTTATTTGTTTTTTTTTTTTTTTTCAGAGTTAAAACACTTTTTTTTAGCTACTTATATCTTACAACAGATTGGGTAACATATACTTTTGTGAACAAAATTTGAAGCATATTTCTTTCTATCTGCCTTCTTCAGAATTTAGAAACTATTTGTGAGCATTTTTAGTTTATAGGATTAGTATTTTGCATAAGTTCAGCAAGAATATGTTTTCTTTTTTAACAGTACACAGTTGCAGACACTGGTTATTTCATCAAGGCTTTGACTGGAATGGTATATTTTCAGAAATGTCCAGACTACTTTGAGTAACTGAGAGAGCCAGTATAAAGCCTCTTAGAAAGACTTGCCTCATATCTCGCCTATGTCATTTCTTTACGAAGTTCCTGACCTGTGGTAAGTAAAGCACCATTCTCATCCTCCTGGTTGCAGAGCAGTACATGTCTGTGGCCTGTTAGGAACTGGGCCACACAGCAGGAAGTGAGCAGCGGGCATTACCACCTGAGTTCCACCTTCTGTCAGATCAGCAGTGGCATTAGATTCTCACAAGAGCACAAATCCTATTGTTAACTGTTCATGCAAGGGATCTAGGTTGTGTGTTCCTTATGAGAATCTAACTAATGCCTGCCTGAGTTGAAACAGCTTCATCCCAAAACCATCTCCTCTCCTGCCCCCTGGTCCTTGGAAAAATTCTCTTCCATGAAACTGGTTCCTGGTGCCAAAAATGTTGGGGACTGATGAAAGAATGCTACTTTCCAACAGACCCAGGAATCTCAAGTTATTTTGAGATCCTGAGAAGAGAGAAATTCACCCAATTCCTACAGGTATTTACAAGCACAGATCAATCTTTGATTCGTTTAAGCTCAAGAAACTTTTGAAAGTCTAACCTGAGATTCCTTATAAGGAAAATCTCAGTATAGCCACTTAAAAAAGACCCTATATGGCCAATCACATACTTCATGCAAATAATCAAACCAAGTATAATATAACTAAAACTTATTTCACAAATAAATTGGTTCTACTATGATTTGTCTTTGGTAGAAACGGGGAATTGGAGAGATGAAAATTAGGTGTCAAAAGAAAACTATGCAGACACCTGTTATTAGATTCTAGCCTTATTCATTGCTTTTGAGTTTTTCTTATTTGCTTATAGTTTGGACTGAATCTTGAATTCTTTCTTGGCTACAAGTCTCCAAACTAAGGTTTTTTTCTTCCATTTTTTTCTGACCTGAAATCTTTAGAAATTAAAACTGTGCTTTTTATAAAGTCCTGCAGATTGAAGTTAGACAACTTAAACTTTGAGAGAAATAATAGCCGCTTAATATGTAAGCAACCTGCGTGCCTGCTGATGTGGACTTCTCAGAAAGTTCACCTGAACCCCTATTTTGTAACACAATTCAGAATAATCTGTGAGCTTGCCATTGCATTCTGAAGATGCCTCAGAGACTCTAGAAAAACTAGTCTATAAACTGCTCTAGACAGTTTTTAACCTTTGTTTAATCGTTTCTTTTTTCTGTTTCCTTAGAAATACTTCTTATTAAAGATCTGTTTGTATCACGTATGGAGGCCACTTGCAATGTCACTTTCTGGAATGGGACACAGCTATTTAACGGAACCAATCTATTCTCAAGACTAACAGACTGACTAAACAAGACATGAGATAATATATTTAAATTTACTTTTTTCTGTTTATCCCAATTTATCTATCTTTTGTCTATTTCTAACAACCTCTAATCCAAATCTCTCCAAAGCCATTAGTTTGGCTTTTAAAATGTAAAATGCTTTTAAAGTTTTAAAGTGGGGATTGAAGTAAACAGAAAATATTTTACTCCAAAATATATTTCTTTAACATATTCTGAAGTGATCTTGAAAATCCGTCTTTTGCGGGGGAAATTTGCATCTGTAGATCTGTAAAGGACTTGCATTCATGCAGCCAGCCCTTTCCTTGTCCAGATCTAGGAAAGATTAGCTGAGCGTTTGATACCTTTAAAGTACTGAAAATAAACATTCAGCATCTAAATTATCTTAGGGCTGTACCAATGAGGTTTCATCTACATAATAAGTCCACCTTGCTAGCCAAGCGTCTTCCATTTTCTCTCCCATAACCTGTCTTAGAACTATTAATAAAACCTGGTTGTGGCCATGCTCTGAGTCTGCATTCTTTCCGTAACCTTAAATGTTATATAAGCATTTATACCCCAATGGGGAGTTGAGTCTTTATTCTGAAGGCTCCCATGCATAAATGTTAAATAAATTTGTATGACTTTTCTCTTATTTATCAATCTATCTTATGTCAGTGATTGTTAGCAAAACCTCAGGGGGCATTTGGTCCCTAAACTGGGTATCATAGAGCAGCTGTATCTAGACTTGACCTCAAATCAAGCAGAACTTCCATAATTAGGTACCAGTTTTACTTTTAATGTGAAGTGTTGAAGTGAAACCCAGAAAGTGAAAACCCACAAAGAAATCTGCTCCAAAAGTAAATCCATCAACCTGCACAGAAGTGAGACAAATATTTTTGTAAAGTCTGAGATACTATTTCTGTTTTTCTTAGAAATGTATAACCAGTGAATTGAGCATTCAACAATTAAAACTCAGCACCAAGAAGACCTTTTGGGTCATGAAGAGAATGTTGGCCTTTAAGTCCAAAGACCTGGGCACCAGATTTTACTCTGCCCAAGAATCTATAAAACTTGGGACACATTAATTTCCTCTCACAACTCCATTTTCTTGAATTGTTTTTAAAAATGGGGTTGGATTCAAGGAAACTTTTGGTTTTTTAATGTCTTAGCTGTTTGACTGTGTGAACAGTATTTAATGACGTCTAAGTTGTTATCTATTAAATGATACACATAGTACAGCCCCTGTTTAATTCAAAGGAATATTGTGACAGTAGATAAAAATATCAAAAAAGCTTTGAAAATTTGATTGGATATTAGAACTATATTATGATTCCATGTCTTTTGCTATTCATAAACTACATAACATGAGACTTAATATCAGGAAGTAAAAAAGTGAGAGAAATCTTGGTGACAGTGAAGAGAAATACATAGAGACATAATGGTTGAGCAGGTGAACCTACAATAATTGATGAACAGAAAAGAGAAAATATATGATAAGTTCTTTTCTAAATCTATTCTTTTGTGATATTATCACCTTGAGATTTTAATGTAAGGACAGTGATTGTCAAGATGGTATGCCCTTCCTTCTCTTAGCAAACTTTGTTAAATTTTATTCTCTTAGCAAACTTTGTTAAGCAAACTGATCAATTAACAAAGTTTGCTAAGAGAAGGAAGGACACAACATGCATACTTGGATTTCAGCCAACAGTGATTCAGGAAGCACTGTATTAATTAAACTTTCTTTATAGTTTACCAGCTAGCTGAAATTTCTATGGTCCCAGTCTTCATACAAAAATTCATACAAAAATGAGATCTCTGTATAATTTGTTTATCATAACTGTGGTTGAACTCAACAATGTTGAAAAGGCGGATAATGAAGGGTGGTAAAGGTATATGTGGAAACCAATCACAATCACACTTAATTAATTTAATCTCAGCATCATAATGTTCTGAAAACATCAAGAAACTGGAGAACTGCAATCTTGATTCAAAGAATTACTTGGTTTTTAAATAGCAATTAGCTAGTTTCTATTCAAATATAATGTGGCAATTTTGAACAACCTTGAAGAGGGACCATACTTGGCATGTTTCTAGATAGGAAGAAATAACGTCCAATCTGTTTTGGAGATGATGCTGATTAAAAGGCAGTGTTCTTGGCAGTGTTCAATAAGTTCTCTTATATCTATAGGCATTCATTAACTTCAGAAGTTCATTAAACAACTCCATAATAATGAAATTTATTTTGAATGAGTGATTTTTGAGAATGAGGGAGTTGAGATGAAATATTGACTACTTATTGTGGTTTTAAAGCATGAGGAAAAGGAAAAAATGGGGTGATTTAAATTAAGAGAAGATCAGGACTATCACAATAGTTTTGGGGCTTCTAAATTATTGGTCTAAGGATCATCTTGAGAGAAGCAGAAGGCGGAATTCCCTCTTCTCTAGCCTCAAATTATTAAAGCAGTTCTAATTTGTCTTATTTCTTTGGTAGTGGGTATGTACCTTCTATAAGCCCTATTGGAAGAAAACATACTGCTAAGATTTCACATTCAAAAAAACACTTATTTAGTGTTTAAAGGATTTGTATGATTAAATGCTGTGTTTAACATCTCTACTCAAGATGTAATCTTTCTGAATTTTAATTCTCTGTGTACCATTTACGCTCTAGGTGGCAGTTTAAATCAATATTTCTAATCCTTCCATTTATTTGTATAATAATAATAATGTTAACTAATAATTATTAAGAAGTTAATATTTCAGGTACTCTTCTAAGTACTTAATATGTATCTATTTAATACTCAGGACAATGCTATATGGTAGAAATTATCATTATAATTTAATGAAGGAGTCTTTCAGAATTTAAATAAACTCCCCTAGCTAAGAATATTAATAGATGACCTGAGATTTGAATCCACAAAGCCTGATCCCTCTAGCATGGCACACCTTTAACCCTTATATATCACTGCTTCACAAGATATTGGAGAGAGTGATAGTATTGCTTTATGAAATAAAATCATTAAGTGAAGCAATGCACATAAAGTGCTAAGTATAAGGCCTGGAACAGAGTAAATTTTCAGAACTGTAATATAAACTATCACTTGCATGTATTGTGTATCCAGTATATTGTAGGCCTACTACAAACAACTAATTTAATCTTCATGCTACCACTACCTTATTATTTAAATGTACAAGCTGTAGAAAAATAAAGTATCTTAACAGAAACAAGATAATGAATGAATGGAAGAATCAGGACTTTGATAAGGTGTTTTGATTCTTTCTGCTGTGACATTTTCTCTCCTATATTCCTTGTTATAATTCTAGTAACGTACTTATTGAAAGCAAAATAATGTGCATCAGTTGAATGTGTCTTCTTCATAATACAAAGATTGTTATATATTTATGAAGGTGATTTAATATGTTGACTAGAATTTTAACCCTTATCTGCATATTAGTATTCATTCGTTAATTACAGAAGTCTGGAAACAACTAAATCATTAATTTCGGAGAGTGAAGCAGAACTAGGAAATTCTTTTGCTTTTAAAATATCACTTAAGTAATTTAACATTAATAAACTATACTAATTCAACACATAAATGATTGAAAAAGTAAATGGATAAGCTAAGAAATCAAAAGGGGGATTTATAAGTAAGAATGGATTGATTAGTCCATTGTGAAATGTTAATCAAATGCCTGCACACATTGTTACTTACTCAAATTGTACTCACATTTGGAATCAATTAGCCTCTGGAGTTTGAAAGCCGGTTTCTACCAATCCGATCCATGGGGATACCTAATCGCCTTTTTGGATGATCGACTGCTTTTCTGAAACAAACCAAGGAGGATATTTTTAAGCTAAAGTGCAAGTTAATGATTATTATTTTTGTTCTTTTATTTTATGCAGATATGGAGGATTTCCTTGGGAGTTGTAAAAAACGTGATAGTTCCCACTCGCCAGTACCCACTACGTGCCAGACACTAGCTCATATTTTCCACATCTGTGGAAGCAGATACTATTGGAAATTATTATCTCCATTTTACATATGAGGAAACTGAGGCTTAGAGAAGTTAACTTATCCAAATTCAAAAAGACAAAACCAAAAGCCAGTTCTTATCAGCATGCTAATCTGCCAATTTAGTGCTTTAGTTTGGGAAAATCCTTTCCCCCATCAAATTTTATTTTTCTGGGCCAGGCATCGTGGCTCATGCTTGTAATCTCAGCACTTTGGTGGGCCAATCTAGTCACCAGAGTCTATAGAAGTAGCCAATGACTGATGAAGAGTGAGTCTGAGAACAGTAATCTGAGAACTTAACCATTATGGCTGGCTTTGAATGGAGCCATGAATCAAGGCTTGGATGATGAATCAAGGAAAGCTGTGGCTCTAGGTGGCTATTTTTTATTTTTTTTAGACAGGGTCTTGTTCTGTTGCCCAGGCTTACTGCAACTGCAACCTCTGCCTCCTGGGCTCAAGCGATTCTGCTGCTTCAGCCTCCTGAGCAGCTGGGATCACTGAGTGGCTGGGATTACAGGTGCCCACCATCACTAACAATTTTTGTATTTTTAGTAGAGACGGGGTTTCACTATGTTGGGCAGGCTGGTCTCAAACTCCTGACCTCAAGCAATCCACCCGCCTCAGCCTCCCAAAGTGCCGGGATTACCAGCATGAGCCACCACCACCGGCCTACTAGTTCTTGAAAGCAAATGGGGATCTTGGTCCTGCCGTTGTAAGGAACTGAATTCTGCCAACAATGTGAATGAAGGGAAGTGAAAAACCAACCCTTCCAGGTGTTTGCAGGACTTGTGAAAAAGGGAAGGAAATAGCAGCTGGGGAAAGCAGTCACATGATACCTGCACTGAGTCTTCAAAGCCCCTTCAGAAATAGATGTCAGGAAAACAAAATCCTTCCCCTTTTTAAAAGATAAGTACGATTAAAACAGAACATTCACTGGGCCTTTCTTACCAAAATTTGTTTTCTCAAAAATGGAAGTAAATAAATGAAAATGCGTTCTTCTTTTTTGCTTTTACTACAGTTGATCTTTCCCTGCTCGAGCAAATAAGCAGCAGCTGCAGTATCGTGGCGAGCAAAATAAATTCTGCTTTTCTGTCCTTTCCTTCCCTTTTTCCCATTCTCTCCTCGCCTTCTTTCCCCCAGACTTGATCCAAAATGTATTAGAAACCAGGAAACGGAGGATTTGGGTTCTACTTGATTCTTTTACTTATTGATAGCATGACCATCTGCAAGTCTTTTATTCTAAGCTACTCTTTCCTTTTGATAAAATTGAGATAATACTTGCTATGCCCATCTTCTGGAGCCGTTTATTCACTTAACATACTTATTTGTTAAGTAATACTTGATCGTTTCATCCATAGCCATGTGTTATCCGGACTTAACCAAGTGTTATGTGTTGTTCTCTGCACTGGGGATACAGTGGTGAATAAGACCTAGGTTACTGCTCAGTATTCACATTTTACATTGAAAAGAACTAATGAGGTAATACATGGAAAAACACTTCATGTATTTCAACTGGTACTAGTTTTTCCTACCAGTCTAGTCCAGTGGTTTTTTTTTTTTTTTCCTTTCTTTCTTTTCTTTTCTTTTCTTTTTTTTTTTTTTTTTTTTTTTTTTTGAGACAGAGTGCAGTGGCGCGATCTCTGCTCACTGCAACCTCCACCTCCCGGGTTCAAGCAATTCTCCTGCCTCGGCCTCCCGAGTAGCTGGGACTACAGGCATGCACCACCACACCCAGTTAATTTTTGTATTTTTAGTAGAGACGGGGTTTCACCATGTTGGCCAAGATGGTCTCGATCTCTTGACCTCATGATCCGCCAGCCTCGGCCTCCCAAAGTGCTGGGATTACAGGCGTGAGCCACCACGCCCGGCCAGGCCAGGGGTTTTTCAAACAATTTGTAGCTATTTTTTTTATAAACAAAAGCTTTATAAAAGAGAGCAATATCTGAAAAGTTCAGAATTATCCCAGTAAAAATGTATCCCTCCAACTCCATAGACTGCGGCCCCAGACAGACTTTCCAGAAACACACCAGGTTCCTCATAGCAGAGTTTAAGTGAAAAGTATTGGTCAAGTGGATAAAATAGTAACTCATGATTTTACTCTAGCAATAAATTCATAATTACTTTGATTCATCTTATGAAATTGAAGATTGGTTGCAAATGCTTACAGATATCTGGAAATCAAAGAAGAAAAATAAAACAAATATATATTTATATAAATCAATTCAATATTTTAAATTTTTACTACAAATACAAAATCAAAAGAATTTTCATAAAGCACATAATCAGAAACCATAGTAGCTCAGTTAAATACTTTCTATACAATCTATATCTATTCAGAAGTGAAACAGCAAGCTAGCAATTGTTTTAACATGTTTTTGAATATGAAATATATATACATATATATAATGGTACTACATTCTAAAACACCTGCACTGACATGAATATATTGTATACAAATGAATGTTGGATAGAAAATAGAATCTTAAAATTAAAAGGCAAAGCTGTATTTTTTGACTTTCTAGTCCCTCTTGTGACACAATAATGGTATGACATGGTTTATATTATATTGTATTTACATGGAAAATAAGCCACCATTTCCATTCCATAAGTAGTTTAAGGATATAGAATATCTATCAAACTAACATAATGACAATGATTAGATTGTTTATCTATCAAACTAATATAATGACAATGATTAGATTGTTTATTTTAAATGCAATTTTAATTTAACACTAAAATCTAAACTTCCTATGTGAAACAGGATTTTCTTGAACATTTATAATCTTGGATAATTCCATTTCTAAAGGCTTTTACATTAAAAAAAAAAAAGCAGTTAGAAAAAATGTATTTGGCCGGATTCGGTGGCTCATGCCTGTAATCCCAGCACTTTGGGAGGCCAAGGTGGGTAGATCTTGAGGTCAGGAGATCAAGACCATCCTGGCCGACATGGTGAAACTCCATCTCTACTAAAATTCAAAAATTAGATGGGCATGGTGGTGTGCACCTTAAACCCCAACAATTCAGGAGGCTGAGACAGGAGAATCCCCTGAACCCAGGAGGCAGAGGTTGCAGTGAGCCGAGATTGCACCACTGTACTCCAGCCTGACAACACACAAAGAGTCAATCTCAAAAAAAAGAAAAAAAAGTTATAAATTTCAAATATCTTCTCCCATCTGTGATTCAACTTCTTTATTGTGTTTTTATAAAAATCTTTGATGTTTTAAAACATCGATATTTTTGCATCTCATGAATAAATCATCTCTACCCTAATATTATGATGATATTTTCCTATGTCATAAAATATTTTTATAGTTTTGCCTTTCACATTTCAGTTTTTAATACGTTGGAATTAATTTTTGCAAGGCACAGTGGCTCGCATCTGTACTCTAGCTACTTGGGAGATTGAGGAGGGAATATCCTTTGAATCCAGGAGTTCAGACCAGACTGTGAAATACAGTGAGACCTCATCTCAAAACAAAATAAACAAGAAAAAAATTTAATTTTTATTTATGGGGTGAGTAAAAAATCATGTTTCTTTTTAAAAATCTACATTTATGCCTAATCATTTAGAAATTTTAGATTCAGCTTATCAAATTCTGTAGAAAGTCCTATTGCAATTCTCACTAGAATAGTGTTGAATCTCGGCAGAATTCAATTAGGAGAGAATTGAAATCTTTATAATATTGAGTCTTACTAACCAAGATCATTTATTTAGGTTATTTTTAACCTCTTTAAATAAATTGTAAAATTTTTCTCCATAAAGACCTTTTCGTTGTTGTAAGCGGCATCATTTAAGAATATGTGTTGCAAGCAGTTTTTTTTTTTTTTTTTTTGAGATGGAGTTTCACACTTGTTGCCCAGGCTGGAGTGCAATGGCGCGATCTTGGCTTACTGCAACCTCCACCTCCTGGGTTCAGCAATTCTCCTGCCTCAGCCTCCTGAATAGATGGGATTACAGACTTGCACCACCACGCCTGGCTAATTTTGTATTTTTAGTAGAGACGGAGTTTCACCACGTTGGTCAGGCTGGTCTCAAACTCCAGACCTCAAGTGATTTGCCCACCTTGGCCTCCCAAAGTGCTGGGATTACAGGTGTAAGCCACTTTGCCTGGCTGCAGGCATTTTTAACAGTGTTCCTTACTTGGTTAACAAACGTTTTCTTCTATTAACAATTTACTAGTGATTTCAAAGATGGGGGTTTAGCTTTATTGAATGCTTTTGTTGCATCTATAGAGATGATATGATTTATCCTCAATTTGTTAACTCATTTAATTGATTTTCAAAGTAAATTAAGCTTATATTATATATTTGTGTTAAACAACATGATAATGGTATTTTTAAAATACGTTGCTGGATTTGTTTTGCTCATTTTTTTTTTTTTGGTAGGAATTTTTTATCTGTAGTCCTGAAGTTTTCTTTTCTTGTTTTCTCCATATGTGATTTTGATGTTTAAATAATGTTATTCTCACTAAATGAGTTGAGAATTGTATCTTCTTCTTCTTCTTTTTTTTTAAATAAAGATGGGGTTTCACCACGATGGCCAGGCTGGTCTTGAACTCCTGACCTCAGGTGATCCACCCACCTCGGCCTCCCAAAGTGCTGGGATTACAGGCGTGAGCCACCACACCTGGCCGAGAATTGTACCTTCTTTTTGGTTATTCCTTGTTATTTATCTAATCACACTGTAGGTTGAGAACATGTTTTGTATGATAACTCTACCTTTAAAATTCGTAAGGCTTATTTTACAGGCTAGCACTTTATTTAAAAATTGCTTAACAGGTGTTTCAGGTGTCATTAAAACTTCCAATCCTT